ATAAAATATTGGTTGGGAACGTAGATTTGGGATGTACGTCTATATGAAATAAACTCCGAAATGTCATTCTGGGACTCATTCAGTCGGAAATTGTGGCAGAAACATGAAAAAAATACGAAATTATAAAGTAACTTTATTGGATCTCCACCGCACAATTTAAATGACAAACAATTAATGCCCATCTTACGGTAATCGGAGCAAAAGAGTAATTCTTTTGGCTATTCCGACAACATTCTGCCTTCAAGTATGAGGTGAACAAAACTGAATACCACACAGTAGGGGATTTTAAACGATGGAAATACAAATTTCAAATTATAGCTTATTTGAATGCTTTTTACAATATCAAAAATTGAGCTGAATTTTCCCATGGGACTATTATAGATGTTCTTTATCATATAGGTATTTAACACTCAAATTAAAGCCTATAGCTGAAAAATAAGATCAGGCTATTCATAATATCTAAAACCGACGGTAATTATAATTTTTGCCATGAATATTAATTTATATTTAGTCATGGAGTCATTACTCATAATCACGTCATTACTTATCAAAATTGGAGTAATTATAATGGAGTCATTACTTATAATGAAAATTGTGCCGCCAATATAAGTCAGACCTGTGATTTATTATGCTTTAAAGACTAAAAGTACGGGCCGGCAACGCGGACCGGGCCAGCATATATATATATATATATATATATATATATATATATATATATATATATATATATATATATATATATATATATATATTTTTTTTTTTTTTTTTTTTTTTTTTTTTTTTTTTTTCACTTCCAATAACTATCGAGGAAGTGACTTCTACCATTATTAGAAGTAACGCTGTATGTTCTATTTACTCATGCTTAAACCTATCGCGGGCGTGGTTCATCTCTTCCCGAACGATGCTCCTTCCTACAGCAATAACCCACAAAAGAAGAAAAAACGTGAATAATCTTAAACCATGAAGCCGGCCATTTGATAGGTTGCCTGCAGCTGAAGGTTGAAACAATTCATTTTAATTTTAATGTTGAAATTTTATAAAAATAAGAAATAATTAAAGTTGCTTAGGTAGATCATATTACACAACATTTACGCAAAATTTTTGCAAATAAAATGAGTTGTATTCACCCTATATGAAAATTGAATGCACATCGAATTTACAAGTTTATGTTTTCAGGATGTTTTGCTCGTGAATAGCAGAGTTTGACCATACGCCATACTATGTCTGTCACTGTCTCGAAATAAATGAAAATGTAAACGATATTGTTCACTATTCAATATTACAAAAAAACAAAACTACATTTCGGACCTATTTTTGACACAACTTATTAAACCAAAGATTTTATTTGATTATGCTCCAATACGTGGACCATATCCCCCAACTTGGACTTTATTTTATAAAAATTTGGCTACCATTTCTTTTTATATTCTACACCACACTGTCAGGGTATTATGTATTTGTAACATAGAGAAGGAGCCCTTTTGATGATCTGCATAGCATAAAATTCTTACATGTCCGTCCGTCTGTCCTTGTATTTTTGTAAACAAAGAACAGGTCGATTTGAAATTTTGCAGAAATTATTTTTGTATGGCCCAAGGACGAACTCTATCGTTCAAAACGTAGATATAGCTCACTTATACATCTTTGTCCGATTTGCCTTATATTGTGCATCAAATTAGTAATATTACCCCAAATTAGATGGAGAATTTTAATAATCCCAGTCAGCATTTTTTGAAATTTTTGATGGAATATGAGCCCTTTTTTTGATCATAAAAGACTCATTTGTAATAAATCACATATGAATCTTCCTCTAGATTAGTTAAGAGTCTTTTTCGACCATTTTCTGATCGTTCTACGAGTCTTTTTCGATTCGTTTTCTAATCATTTATTGCGCTAATACTCTAAATGTGTGAATCTTTATTGATTCTTTTTTAAGCCTTTTTTGATTATTTATGAGACTTAAGTAAGTAATTTATTACTCTTTTAAGTGTTATATATCGCTCATATGTATATCCATTTAGGAGTCTTTTTTAAGTCCAATTTGTCTTAAATTCGAGTCATTTATGAGTCTTATATGAGTTTTTACGATTCTACGAATCACGTACGTGATTTCTAAATAATCGGATGTACCATGAAAAAATAAAAATAATTCAGCTTTTATTATTCGTACTGTAATTTCAATAAATGCCATTGTAAAAGATATAGTAAACAAGTAAGCAAAGGCTACAGTCGAGCGGGGCCGACCGTTGAATACCCTACAACACTATAATAAACGATACTGTTTACATAGACGAGATACTCGAAAGAATTCCACAAGATATTGTGACAAATTATTAAAGAAAACCATCAGGTTTCGTTCTCTAATTTTCGAATAATAGCAACTTAAACTAATTTGCTCATTTCCAATTTATTGGTAGATGTTGCACGTAAATGGTCTTCCTAGATCTGGAACCAATATTTCCCTAAGACCTATAATCTCTCAGAAGTGGCAAAAGATTAACATTTATTATTGGTTTTTGACTGAAACGCATCTATATGAGATACAGACAACGAAATCAGCGTTAACGAAATAGCAGTGCGTCTTTCCTGTATTTGTGAATTCTCCAAAAATTCACTGGAATGGACATTTTCGTATTTTGTCTACAAAAGTTGGCAAACTATTTCGCACATTGAATATGTTTGGATGGCCATCTAAAACTGCTTGGATTTTGCAATGTCTGCGATAATTACGACCTGCTGACAATTTTGCAGTTTTTTGGTCCATTTCAACCCCTAAATATATGGCGATCATCTCCAAAAAGAGTAGACTTCTATTCTGACCCTCATCTTATCCCCATGCGAAATTTCGTAACGATCGGGCCATAAATGCGATCTGTATATGAAATGAAATCCTAACTACTTAGTTTTGTAAGCTGTAGAAATATTACCAAATGTTTAATTCAAAATGAAAATATGCCAAAAATATGACAAAATTGAAAAAATATGAGAAAATTTTACAAAATCAATATTTTCATCTTTAGAGAGATATTTTTATGCGATTTTTTAGACGTTTTTTATTTCCTGCCAAGAGGCCATTCTGAATTAATGAGAACTGTCGAAATCAGTTCAGCCGTTCTCGACATATAAGAGATCTTTCAAGCATATCTTCTTTAGACATATATATCGCACATATTTTGCTATATATCCGTTTTGTTGGATGTTAACATCAATGTAAAGATCAGGAGTAACCTTGTCATGGCTTTGTGATTTCGCCGGGATTTAAAATATTCACGGTTTAATGAAAAATTTTGAATTTTTTCAACAGAAAAGATATGGTCTATTTTACCCGCTAAATATTATCCGATGACCACCCAAATTGGTAGGCTTCTTCCCCGCCCTAAACTCTAGCTACATGCGAAGTTCCGCGTCGATTGGTCTATAATTGCGACCTGTATAGCTACTGCAAAATCCGACATTTTTTCAGTATTTGGTCCATTTCGGCCCCTAAATATTATGCGATCATCTCCAAAAGAAATAGGGTTCTATTCTGACCCTAGCCCCACCTCCATTCTAAATTTCGTGAAGATCGGGCCATAATTGCGACCTGTAGAGTGATTACAAATTAACATGGACAGACGGACAGACGGACGGACGGACATACATAGCTAGATCGACTCAGCTCGGCGAGCTAGGAAGATCCATATATACTTTCCTATGTGGGAAATCAATATTTCGTGGTGTTACATAATTTTTGGCCCAATCAAACTTATAATACCCCCAACACATAGTGTTGTAGGGTATAAAAATTAAATAAAAAAATGAAAAATCCAAAAATAAAAAATCTGAAACTGCAATCGGGCCATTTTCTTTTTGTAACCCGGTCCCTGGCGTGAACAAAAAGTTTCTGTAAGGTTGTGTTCATATCCTTGTCGTTGCTTGTGTATTTGAGATGACAAATATCTGAAATAAAACATGAACAAGTCTATCCATTTTACTAATTCTTACTTTTGATTACTGTCACTAAATAGCACTTTTCTGCACTCGTCTTCAGACTGGTGGCTTGACGGTCTCTTCAAAATTCTCTTCACGTTCCTGGTCATTCTCCTCATTATTTACGTCTTCAGCTTAACTTTTTTTTGTAAAATTAAATTTGCAGCCTCTTTTTTGTCATCCTTTTTACTTTTGCCTTTTCTATTCTTTTAATTTGGCTATTATTCTTTATAAATATTAATAAGTAAATAAACAAACATACAATTTTTAATATATTTTTTTTTACTTTTTAATATTATACACTTTCACTGTTTACGCTTCCACGAATTTATTAGTCAACTTTTTTATAGCCACTCCAGAAACGCAACAAAATGACCCGTTACGCATAGCACAAAAAGCAGCATTTAAGGACTTGTCTGTGCAAAATATGATCAAATAATACATAATTATGATCATTTTTCAAACAGCTGCATGATCTTTTTAAGATTAATCATTTTTTAATCTGTACATGATTGCAATACAATAATAAATAACGGAAAAATAGTCACATTTTGCACTTCTCAATGATTGATTTGGGGTTCCCCTACATTTTGTTGTTGTATAGTAAAGTGATCTCTTTTTACTCTAACTAATAGTTAACTATACTAATAGTTGACTAATAGTTAACTATACATTAATAGTTTTGCTTCTTTAAACAAGTAGCGATCATAGGAACACGAATGGTTGGAGATGGCAAATTTTTTGAAACAAAAATCGTTGAATTATTGCGAAAAAGGATTATATATATATTTTTAAATGGAATAAAAATATATTGGCGATATTACCCATATATATGACTAAGAAATGGCAATTTTTAGTTTTAGTGTCTTGATTCCTACAGTACCATATACCCTTTTAATAATTTATTTTGGTTGAGACTTCCTTCTATTTTTGATATGTAGCATATTTAGCATGAAGAAGCACACACTCATGTTGTGTTATAGCACTTTAATATTTACCATAATTATTTAAGAATAATACTGTAAACTTACGACTTCATTTGTCTTCTGTGAATTCTTATATGCTGTTTTTTCATGGTTACGGTTCCATTCATCTTTTTTACTTATATCGTTCTGTTTGCCGGGCCTAAAACGAAATCGAGTAAATTATTATTTTTAAGGAATTTAGGAAAATAATTTATTTATCAGTAATAAATTTAGAGAAACATTTTTCAAATTTTCGAAAATGTTGTAAACAGTTTATTATAATTAATTAATAATTAAAAAATTCAAGGGTCATATTTTCTCTATTAAGTATTACATTTTTTATTACTAAGTCAAGATTACGTCTTTCTGTGCCAGGACATTTGTACATCCTAGAAGTTGGAGACAGGCAATATATTGTGCCCACAGCAGAAATTCCTATGGAGAGAAAATTAGAGTAAAGTTGGGAAAATGACAGTATAATGGTCAAAAATATGGTGGTGCAATGGTTAGTGTCATATTTTTGTCGTAGTTATGAAGTACTTTTCTGTCAAGTTAAAAAAAAATAAATCTTTGATTTCCATTTCAGTTTTCGGTTCGGTCATAAATAATAAAATAAATGTAATGACTAAAATAATTCCAATTTAGTCACGTTTTATGATCACTCGCAACGCATTAGCATTTAGACACAGCAAGCATTAATAAGTAAGTGCATGTGTAAATTTATCAGATGTAAGGTTAAGTGTTCAGAAAATGTTTTAAATAAATTCATTTCGAGCCATGGAACGAAAACACCAGTTCGCGGCGTTTTCTTTTTTGGTTACACTGCGTTGTGATGAGTTTAGGAGTCGACCTCATTATTTGGTGACCAAGACGTCAGTCAGGCGAGTATATTGTGTTCCTATATTTAGAACTGGGTAAAATTGGTCTATATAGTGTAACTAAGGAAGCTAGAGTAAAATGTACTAAATTAGGTAATTCCTTTACAGAAGCAAGAACAGAATATTTAAATAATGAAAGAGAGTTCCGTCGCATTAAAAATGTATATACTCAAATTACATAGCCGCCTTGGGAGTGTGGTATGCGATTAAAAATATAGAGAGAGGTCTAAACGGTATAGGTGTATTTGTGCTGAAGTGTACAGCTTAAGTTCATCGGAACAGTGTGGGAAAAATCCTTACTGTTCCATTTACAGAAGCCAAATATTGACATAACGGCTAAACTAATCGATGCATCGTTTGGCTTTTGGACGAGGTTAGAAGAAGTATTCTCTAGAGTATAGAAAACATCGATAGGAGTTTTCAAGCATTATCGTCACAATACGTGCGGTATTGGGAAGTAGTTGAGAAACAGGTTGACGATACAAGTCATTATAATTTTTTTTTTTAAATTTGTTTCCGAATTGTGAGATGTGGGAACATTACAAGAATATCACCTAAATAGGTGAAAATGAAAAATATGTTGAAAATATTTAAGGTAGTTTAGGGATTCAGCAGAAAATAGTTAAGGACTTAGAAGCTATTGAAGAAAAAAGAAAACGTTCACGTCGATGTCTCGCGAAATTTTAACATTGAAATAACGTGTAAAATTAAAAGTAAATTAAAAAACGCGAAAAAGTCAAAGATTGTTGCCGAAAAACAGAATGACCGTAGTAAGACTGCAAAGAATACAAAACCGATGGTATATGTCACTGGCCCGATGGTTGGTGCAAACGAGGTAGTCCTGCTGTTCGAAAAGCACCCGTGGATAAAGAATTTCCAGGTGCAAAATGGCTAAAGCGTACGTCATGTGTCACGAAAGAATTTGCAGGTGCAAAACGGGTCAAGAGTACAGTAATACTGTAACGTGGTTTTCTCGTCGGCTGAGGTAAGCTCAGTTGTACCCAGAGTCTCCATAAGGACCCACTAAACCTTATGAAATAATGGGAGTAGATTTCTCCCTTTCCTGGGGGTAAAAATCGGATGTTTTATTGATCTTTAATGCTAAATTACAATCTACTCGGGTTGAAATACGATAAGGTAAATATTGAATATAGGACGGAAAATGTACTTCGGAGGTGTTCATGAATTCAAAGTAATGATGTTTAATTGATAATCGGGATTTGATGTTTACTCGTATCCTAGGCAAGAGGGTGTACGACTCGTGGTCAATTGGGAATGATGATGTCGGGTTAAAGAAAATCACGAATTGCGGTGTTGCGTTCGGGTGATGTTTGCGTTGACGAGTTGAAGGTAATCGGGAACTGGTGGTCGTCGATTGTCGACGGTTTGACTGTTATCAGGAATTACGATATGTCTATTCGGTTGTTGCGGTATGTTGACGATTTGAAGATAATCGCGAACTAAACCTTATGAAATAATGGGAGTAGATTTCTCCCTTTCCTGGGGGTAAAAATCGGATGTTTTATTGATATTTAATGCTAAATTACAATCTACTCGGGTTGAAATACGATAAGGTAAATATTGAATATAGGATGGAAAATGTACTTCGGAGGTGTTCATGAATTCAAAGTAATGATGTTTAATTGATAATCGGGATTCGATGTTTGATCGTATCCTCGGCAAGAGGGGGTACGACTCGTGGTCAATTGGGAATGATGATGTTGGGTTAAAGAAAATCACGAATTGCGGTGTTGCGTTCGGGTGATGTTTGCGTTGACGAGTTGAAGGTAATCGGGAACTGGTGGTCGTCGATTGTCGACGGTTTGACTGTTATCAGGAATTACGATATGTCTATTCGGTTGTTGCGGTATGTTGACGATTTGAAGATAATCGGGGACTAAACCTTATGAAATGATGAGAGTAGATTTCTCCCTTTCCTGGGGGTAAAAATCGGATTTTTTATTGATCTTTAATGCTAAATTACAATCTATTCGGGCTGAAATACGATAAGGTAAATATTGAATATAGGATGGCAAATGGACTTCGGAGGTGTTCGTGAATTCAAAGTAATGATGTTTAATTGATAATCGGGATTCGATGTTTACTCGTATCCTAGGCAAGAGGGTGTACGACTCGTGCTCAATTGGGTGACGTTTGCGTTGACGAGTTGAAGGTAATCGGGAACTGGTGGTCGTCGATTGTCGACGGTTTAACTGTTATCAGAAATTACGATATTTCTATCCGGGTGTTGCGGTATGTTGACGATTTGAAGATAATCGGGAACTTGTGGTCGTCGGTTGTCGACGATCAGGAACTACGATGTTTGTGTTCGGGTGATCAGGGTTGTTGACGATTTGAATGTAATTGGGAACTTGTGGTCGTCGGTTGTCGACGATCAGGAATTACCATGTTTGTGTTCGGGTGATTAGGGTTGTTGACGATTTGAAGGTAATCGGGAACTTGTGGTCGTTGGTTGTCGACGATCAAGAATTACGATGTTTGTGTTCGGGTGATGAGGGTTGTTGACGATTTGAAGGTAATCGGGAACTTGTAGTCGTCGGTTGTTGGCGATAAGGAATTACGAAGTTTGTGTTCGGGTGAATTAGGGAACCGATGCGTTAGGCTTTGTAGATGGATCGGGGGTCTACAGGAGCGTCGACTATAATACGTCGACTATAATACGGAACAGCGAGCCGAAGCCCCTGTGGAATAGTGAACCGAAGTTCCTGTGGAACAGCGAACCGAAGTTCCTGTGGAACAGCGAACCGAAGTTCCTGTGGAACAGGATGCCGAAACTCCTGTGGAACAGCGAACCGAAATTCCTGTGGAACAGCGAGCCGAAACTCTTGTGTAAATGAATTACCAGCCACTCAACTTAATGAGAGCCACTCTTGAAAAAAGTATTCCCGGCTAACGCTTTTGTTAGTCACTAGCTACCCTTTGGCAAGCTCCTGCAGTAGCAAGCCTCCACTATCGCACCTCAAACCGAACACTATATGTGACCGGTTCTTCCAAGTCATTGCGAATTTTTAGCCTTACGCTGTGAGCAGCACACCACCGAAAACTACTTTGTTCACCACGCGCCCAATGAATGCTGTGTTTGTTGGCTAGTGCTGTTGTCGCCTTTTTGACTGCCTATGACCGTGTCGTGTGTGCATGGTGGTGGTGGTTGGTTGGTGCTGTTAGCGTCGCACTTGCAGTGGCCGCTGTTGTCGTTATCATTTTGTAATAGGTGCGGTTGTTTGTTCGTGTGAATGTACGTGATGAAACCAGCATTTGGGTTTCATCATGTAGATAACTATCTTAAAATAATATTAGTAATATATAATCAAAATACTTCCGCAGTTTTAGTGTTAAAATCCTATATGATATAGAACATCTATAATAGCCCCGTGTGAAAACTCATCTCAATTTTTGGTATTATAAAGAGCTTAGCAACATTTTCCATTCAAATGAGCTGTAACTTGGGATTTGTATTTAGAATACCGTGCTGTGTGGTATTTAGTTTTGTCCACCTCATAATTAGGGGCATAATGATTTCAGAATAGTCAAAGATAATTACTCTTCTACACCCATTACCGTAAGAATCTAATTTATTTATTTTTGTCATTTAAATTGTGCGTTGAGAAACCATGAAGTCCATATTTTTCATCATATTATAATTCAATGACGATAAAAGAAATTAATATTTGTGATTTTTTCATGTTTCCGACAGAATGAGTCTCATTTCGGAGTTTATGTCATATAGACGTACATCCCATCTACGTTCCCAACCAATATTCTCTTGGGGGTTACAAATACAATAGATCAATAGAATACAAAATTTTCTTTTTGACCACACATTGTTTGGGAAAGTAGACTTGGATGTACACTAATGTGGGATCTATTCTCAAATAAATGCCTATATGGACAATTATCTGTAAGAAGATTCCCCAAACGAGGTAGTCCTGCTGTTCGAAAAGCACCCGTGGATAAAGAATTTCCAGGTGCAAAATGGCTAAAGCGTACGTCATGTGTCACGAAAGAATTTGCAGGTGCAAAACGGGTCAAGAGTACAGTAATACTGTAACGTGGTTTTCTCGTCGGCTGAGGTAAGCTCAGTTGTACCCAGAGTCTCCATAAGGACCCACTAAACCTTATGAAATAATGGGAGTAGATTTCTCCCTTTCCTGGGGGTAAAAATCGGATGTTTTATTGATCTTTAATGCTAAATTACAATCTACTCGGGTTGAAATACGATAAGGTAAATATTGAATATAGGACGGAAAATGTACTTCGGAGG